GTGGGAAAGTTGGGGGGTTGAATACCCACACCTGTAAAAGTTGTCAAGGTTGAGAAACACTGCTCTGAGCTGTCCCTGTTTCCAGAGCCACAGCCTCCTCCCTCGCAGATCTTCTAATCCGCAGACCCTTCCTTAAAAATTATGCTTGGTCTTGCTCTTACCTGTTTGAGTGGGCTTCGGTACCCATGAGGACTAGAAACTTGCTTTCTTAAAAAGAAAGAAATACCTGCCTATTTTGCCGCTCAGATCTGACAGTGCTTTTTTTCCCCTATGGTTTTTCTCTGTAGGTGGGGCTCTGGCAGAGGGTTTCCAAGTGAGGATGTTTGAATTCCAGAATTTCGAGCGGAGGTTTGAGGCAAGTGCATCGTCAGACGTTGATATTGGTACATGAGTTTTACTGCTGGGATCATAAACGCCCGTTTTTGAACTGCAAGAAACACTGGACGATCTGTTTCCAGAACCAGAAACAAATAATATTATTAAGCAGCTAATCCAGCATCGTTGAACGCTTTGAACAAGATTCCTAATCCAGGATCCTGAGGATCTTGGTTTGCCTATTGTTGTACTAAGCCGCTAGTCCTCAAGGACACGATCAGTTCCAAGGGGAATTTACCGGGGCTGACCTTACATGTAATTAGCCCAAGGTGGTTCACAGCCTTGCTGCATCTGCGAAAGGATACTGGATTTTGTTGGGAGGGCTGAAGTTTGTCTTCCGTGCAGGAGTGCATCTCGCAATCTGCGGTGAAGACGAAGTTTGAGCAGCACACGGTCAGAGCCAAGCAGATTGCCGAAGAAGTCCGACACATCATGGATTCGGTGCATGTGGCCGCGCAGGAACAGAGGTGAGCAGAGCGTGCAGCGCTTCACCTGTAATTTCCTACAGAATGTATGAAAGTGGACATCAAACAGCACGGGAAGAAAAACATTGCTGGATTTCGGCTAACTCGAGACACTGGACGCTTTTTCTTTTCCTTTTTCTCACTCGACCCAAGACGTTGCTTCCTTCCTTCCTTCGGTCTTGCAGGGTTTACTGCCTGGAGAAGTGGGATGACCGCCAGGAGCGCCTGGGCTTCATAGAAAAGCAGCTGGACTTGCTCACTCAGAGCTACAAGCTGAAAATCAAGGAGATCACGGAAGAAGTCGAGCGCCAGGTGAGGGGCGAGGCAGGGTGAGGCCAGGCTCCCTGAATTTAAAGGCTGGTTTCAGATGCTGGATTCTTGGAGCAAAGAGCTCCCTGGGAGGAAGCATCAAGCGTGTCCTCTGTTCACAGAGCGGAGAGGCTGGACCTGCTTCCTTTGAAAGAGAAGGAAACCGCAGCTCGGTTCCCGCCCGTTAAGCGTGTCCCTTTCCCTCCAGGTGTCCAACGCGATGGCGGAAGAGATCAGGAAGCTCTCTGTGTTAGTGGATGACTTCCAGCTGGATTTCCATCCTTCTCCCGTGGTCCTGAAAGTCTATAAGAACGTAAGCGACTTAATGCGGGCTGGATCTTTCCCTGGGAACCATGGAGCGCCTCCAAGTCCGGTGCCGCTCTGTGGCTTCGTCCCCCTCGGTGCAAAATCCACATTAAATGTCAGACCCTTTGCAGAGAAGAGTCTGTAAGGAAGTCTTTTGCAGTGGCCCTCTCTTGATCCAAAACCCACCCGACTGGTTAACACCACACTAGTCTGTTGCACTGCAACAGACACACAAATCAAGGCGGTGTAACCTCGGCCTTGTGAGCCGATACCGTGTTTTCCTGAATGCGTTGGTGGCCCGCGTCTGATCCTCCTGGAGTTTTAGGCGAAAGGCTCTGGGACTCGTTTTTCTTCCTCAGGAATTGCACCGGCACATCGAGGAAGGCCTGGGCCGAAACATGTCAGATCGCTGCTCCGGCTCCATCTCAGCCTCTTTGCAGACCACGCAGCAGGAAATGATCGGTGGGCATCCCTGGGGGGCAGCTTTCACGAGGGGAAGGAGCTCCTGGGCGTCGTCGAGGGCCACAACTGGCCTGCCCGGGCTGAGGAAGCAGCACTGCTCCTTCCTGGTTTGTGCTGAGACAATGTGGAGCGTGCATTGTCCTAACCCCGCCGCCTTCCCTCCTCCCTCGCTTCCGTCCCTTTCAGATGGCTTAAGGCCCCTCCTTCCCGTCTCCCTGAGGGGGCAGATAGACCTGCTGGTCCCCCGGCAGTGCTTCACGCTCAGCTACGACCTGAACTGCGACAAGCTGTGCGCCGACTTCCAGGAGGACATCCAGTTCCATTTCTCGCTCGGGTGGACGATGCTGGTGAACCGGTTCCTGGGGCCCAAAAATACGCGTCGGGCCTTGATGGGCTACAGTGACCAGGTACGACAGCGGCGGTCCTCTGTGCTCCTTTCCTGTAAGGTTTGGTGATGCAAGGTGGACTGCCCCTCTGCCCAGAGGCTCAGTTTCACCTTAGGCCTTCAAGTATAACCCAGGCGTGAACAGGAGAGGGGTTGATAAAACCCACCGAGGGAGGCCAAGCCGTGTTGCCTTTGTTACTCTGCCAGATGGCACCAGCCGACCTTTGTTTTCGCTGCTGGTGCGGAGTTTTTCTCCCCTGTGTTTCTTAATGGTCCCTTGCCCTGGCCTCAGTTGCTTCATCTGCAAAATGGGGGCTGCGCTAACCCCTCCCTGACCTGCCCATTTTGCCGACTAGGCTCAGCGACCTTTGCCCCTGACCCCAGCGAACCCGAGCCTGCCCCCCTTACCGCAGGGGTCCTTGACGCAGGAGGAGCTGATGGTCTCCATGGTGACTGGCCTGGCCTCCCTCACGTCCAGAACTTCGATGGGCATCTTGGTGATCGGTGGAGTGGTAGGTTGGGGGGCGAGCCTTTAGGGAAAAGAGGGGGGGGCGAAGGAGGTCCTTTCTGATTTCTCTCCAGCCTTCCAGGCAGACATGGAGGCGTAATTCAGCCATTCCAGAAACACTGGACTAGCTAAGGGCGATGGGTGCTGTAGTCCATATCTGGCAGCTCCCTGTGGGGAAAAGCATCTGTAGGGCATCTCTCTAGTTCTCTTTCCATCATTCCTGCTTTCTCTGAGACCCCCTCCTTTGGTCTAGGGCAGGTGGGCAGTGCAATTTTGGGGCCTCAGTGCCCTACTGCTCCTGAATATTGTGGGACATGCCGTAGCCTCTCAGGCGCTCCAAGGCTGGCATTTTTTTTTTTTAAGAAATGCTTTGTTTAAAAAACGCAGTTCTTTCCGATTCAAAGCCCCTTCTCTGTCTGCGTCCCTGTGGTCAGGTCTGGAAGGCGGTCGGCTGGAGGCTGATCGCGCTCTCCCTGGGCCTCTACGGACTCCTTTACGTCTACGAGCGCCTCACCTGGACCACGAAAGCCAAGGAGAGGGCCTTCAAGCGCCAGTTCGTGGAGTACGCCGGGGAGAAACTGCAGCTCATAGTCAGTTACACCGGCTCTAACTGCAGCCACCAAGTCCAACAGTGAGTTAGCCCTCGTGGCGACCTCCCCGCGTGGCGTCCAGCCTTATGGGAGCCTTTTCAGGGTTTTACTTCGTGCGTGAGATGGAGGAAGATGAAGCCCCTGTGTTAGATCTGTACAAAGAAAAGCTTTTCTCACACTAACTATTCTTTGTGTTTTCTTCTTTCTTTTTCACTTTAAAAACACCTTGTAAAAGGGAACTCGCGGGGACCTTTGCTCAGCTCTGCCAGCAGGTGGACGTGACGAGAGAGGATCTTGAGAAAGAAATTGCAGGCCTGAATCAAAAAATTGAGATTTTGGATACTTTGCAGAGTAAAGCCAAGTTACTTCGGTGAGGCGTTTCCGTTTCTATGTTTGTCCATTACTGAGTGGGGTGCTGTGGGTTCAGTTTATGTAAAATCGTCCTGCGCTTGCTAAAAACATAGATTTTCGTCCCCTTATGAGAAATATGAAGCTCTGCCTGCAAATAAGATCCACTGTTTTCAAGGCTAATCAAATCGACAGATAATTGGATTCAGAATCTGAATTAGTTATGAATGTGCCTGTACTTTTAAAAAAAAACTTTCTCTCCTACCGTGATCCAAATACAAACATTTTGTATTTTGAAAAGCCCCTTGGCGTTTGCAATTTTAGTAATGACTTGGTTTTGTAAGCTCAGGTTTTGTTGCTCGGTTTAAGCGAAACTGGCTTCCCTTTAATGGATTTAACGTAGCAGGTAAAAGCCTGTAAGTTATTTCTTTCTTTTCACACGCGTCCCTCTCCTCTCTGTGCCTCTGCAGGAATAAAGCTGGTTGGCTGGACAGCGAGCTGAACATGTTCACACATCAATATTTGCAGCAGAGCAGATAAGCGATCGAAATGGGAGCGTGGCGGAGTCCGTCCTGTCCCCCACCCCAGTTACACTATCGCGAAAATAGTTCCAGATGATGGGACTCTGCAGGGGGAGATGGAGAACCTCCTTCCTGTCTGTTTGCGCCTGTTCCTTCCATGCACACGCAAATTCGAACTCCACTCAGTTTTCCTTTCTCGTCACGTTGGTGCTTTTCGTTTTAGCCAGCCCTTGCGGTCTTAGCAATGTTTTGCTTAGCAGGAAGAACCTTGACATCCTGATTGGTGGGGCTGGGACGCCCATTCCCCAGTCCTGGATCTCCCCCCCCCCTTTTTTTTTCAGCCATCAATGAAATAGCAAGTTGATTCTGCATTTTTTCAGTGGGTGTGGAATGAAATTAACCCCGACGCCTGCTTGCCATAAATGAACGACCCTCTTTCTCCCAAAGGGAATCTTATAATTTATAGGACAAGATTCGGTGCATCCCAGCCAAATTCAGGCCTTGTGGAACACGTTCTAGCTTGGCTTCTCAATTCTGGAGGTGAGAAACAATCTTTGGATGGGCTCCTTCAAGCCTGGAACCCCCTTCCCCAATTTGCACACAACTGACACAGGTTTCTTAGTCCCAGCCACCCAAACGTGTTTGCATCATTTGTTTCTCTCCAGAGTTTTAGGCTGGCATATAGTCCTTTGCATTGCTTACACTGGTTGACAGGAGTTAAAATTCAAAATATCTGGGAAGACTCCAGTTGCCGGTCTCTTTCTGTCCCGATCCTCAGAAAACGTCCTCATGATCACGGTGTCTTTTCCTGTGGCTTTTGCCCTAAAGCGGCGCTCCTAAAGGCGCTAGTCCTTGTGAAGTTAGCTGAGTTACCGCAAATACTAATGAATTTGAGTGTGCGCGCAGGTGGGAGAAGTGTGATGTATGTAGTAGTTAGAGGGATGAAATGGAAGAAAAGACTCAGAGGGAAAAATTTAGAAGGTTGCTTTTGGGGATCTTTCCAAGAGAGAGTGGATAGAATTACCAACTGTAGTAGATTTTGATGCCTGAATTGTTTCTCTATTTATTTTGTTCCCCCTCCTAATATCCCCTAGTTTACGAACCATTCATGACTTCTGCAATTGTCTCTTAGCTTTTTAATGTTTTTTTTCCAAGGGGGAGAAGTAAAGACATCTACACCATTTCAATCCAGTCCCGTCCCTTCCAAAATTCGATTTCCAACGTGCGCCTAAATTGGCAGGCATGTAATTTCCTCCTGGGCCCGTGGAGGCCAGCGCAGGAGGCATTGGCTTTTGGGAGGGGACGCACACGGGTGGCAGTTTGTGCCCGTCGGACCTGTGCGGGGGTCACCATTGGGACTATTCGGTTTTTTGGACCGAAAGACCCTCCGGTAGATTCCTCCGGCCGGTCCCTGCAGAAGTGTCCCGTTGGAGGGGCTCCCGTGGTCAGGGTGTCACAGGTGGCTTTCTGGGCAAGAACTGTGCGTGAGCTCTTGCACCGAAGTGCCTCCCCCACGTGGATTTCGAAACGGCCTTGGAGAGCTTGCAGGCCAGCCTGCAGAAGGAAGACCCTCTCCCCTTTGGGGTCTGGAGTCTCTTTCTCCCTCCTTTCATCAGAGGAACTCTCAGTTCTCAGCTGGAGACGTTTGATTCTCTTTAACCGGCTCCGCCGAATCCCAAGAGAGTTCGGGGTTCGGCAACCGGCGGGTGGTCGGCCTGGGCGGATAAAGGCTGGCGGTTAAAAAGAGTTTAGCCAAATGGACTTTACCTTTTGTTTTCCACGCTGCTAGCTGAAGTGTGGTCTTTTTATTCCTGGCCGGGCCTTCAAAATCCTCTCGGTGGTAGTTTCTATCCTGTTTTTCAGGGCTGTGGGGTTTGGGAATAATGATGCTATTACGATTTTGACATGAATATTGTTTCTGGCTGCATCAGTGCTGTTCATAACCGCAAAGCAGAATTAAAAAGGAACAATTGAATTGGATGGAAGCCTCTGTCTTTTGCTTTCTGGAATGCAGATGTTTTTCGTCGGTAACCTGCGCCGTGCCAATAGGCTTTTCGCCCTGTTGAGGTTTTCGTGCCCGGAGCAGAAACTTCTCTTTGCAATGAGAGCGCCTATTGGATGTATGCAGCTCGGGGCAAAAGGACACGTTCTGCCTTTCATTCTGTTCTCGTGAGCTAGCAGGGCTTGGGCACAGTGCCTCTAGGCATGTGCAGACCGTCGTTAATATTTCAAGGCGTTTGATTTTTATTTTGCGGGTCTTGGACTTAAATTTATCAGGGCTTTTCTGAGATTTAATCTCAGTAACCCAGCATGAGACTCTTCGGAAGATAATGGTATCCCTGGCCATGTGCAGAGGGCCTGTCATTTTAGTGTTAAGTGAGTTTGGACCTTTTTTGGGTTTTTTTTCCTTGCTCTCCTGTCCAAGGCACCTCCCAAACGTTTTTTCCCCCCCGTGGAAGCTGGGGAGGCTCCAATTCCGAATTTCACGCTGCCTGCAGATTCTCCATCTCTAGGCTTTTAAAACAGCAGTTTTCTAAAACTCAGAGCCATGCTGCTCCTGGACATGGAGGTTTTATTTGGCTTCCTCCTGAAAAAAACCAAGTTTTTTTTTTTAAAGTAAGCCTTCTAGATAATTATAAATGGATAGAATTGTTCTGAGTGGTGGTACTTGGTATGGCAAAGCTTATTTTGGGGTAGCGTTGCCAGCTCTCCTGTGGTGCGGTTCTGGGTTCTAGTCAGCAGCAAACTCAGTCAAATAACATAGCAATTTAACATAGAATGTGAAATGGATTATCTCGCTGGCTGGGGATGATAGGGATTGTAATCCAGTGCAGCTGGAGGTCGCCGGGCTGGGGAAGGGGGCCCCTGAGGGCGAAGGGCGGCCGTGTTTTTTTTAAAACGCCGAAAAGAGGAGGGGCGCCCAGGGTGGGGAGGGAGAGGGCGAGGTCCCTTTAAGAGGAAATGGAAAGCTCCCGGTGACGTAGGTTGCTGGGTGACGAAAGCGGAGCCTGGCCAATCCGGAGGCGTTCGGAAGCTTGGCTTTTGCTACATAGTAAGCAACGGACGCGGGAGTGAATGAGTGCGTAAGACGGAGCGCCCTTTCGTTTTTCGGGGCGGGGGGAGTTCAAAGGAGGGGTGAAGGGGATGAGGAGCTGAGCCGGCCTTCCCCGGCCTGGGGCTGATAGGAGTTGTAGTGCATCGCATCCGAAGGGCCGCGCGTTTAGAAGGACATTGAGATAGGGGAGGGGGTGTTTTTTTTTCCCCGGTGCGGCGCAACAACTCTATGGGGCGGGGACCGAGGGCGACGGGGCGTGGGTCCGGAGGCTCAGTCTGGGTGGCCTAGTTAGTAGCGGCCGCTTTGGGGGTGCCCCTTGAGCCCTTTTGGGGATGGGGGCGGTCTTGAGCCACTGACCAAGAAGAAGCTAGGATCGGCCGCCATCTGCCCATCATCAGCTTCTCGCAAGTCTTCATTTAATGTGACGTCACTGGCTGAGATCTGTCCCTTTCATGGTGGGCTGGACCGAGCTCAACTCAGGCTAAAAAAAAAGGCTTGCCCCGATGGGAGTTGGGATAGATCAGTGGGAGCACGATCAAGACTACCTCTGTGCACGTACAGAGTTCCTCACAGCCTCTGTAGAACTAGGCAGGCTTCCCGGGCAGAAATCACTGCTGCGTAACAGATCAGTCGGCGTTACATTCAGACATTTGCTCCTCAGTTCTCCAGGCTGGCTGCCCAGCTCCAGCCCGGCCGTCGCCCTCCGTCTTCCTCGCCCGGCTTCGGGGGCGCAAAGATGGACCTGCAGCAGCTCCGCCACTTAAACCAAGACCTCTTGCGGAGGCTGAAGGCAAACCAAGAAGCGATCAGGAAACGGCTCCCCGCCACGCTGGCCTCCCCGTCGGCGACGCCTGAGCGCAAACGGGCGCCCGGTTCCACGAATGGGGTACGTGGAGGGGAAAGAGCTGACGCGGCTGCGGTCCGTGTCTCATCCAAATGCACGCGGCGTATTTTTAGGAAACTCTCGGGAACCGGCCGCTCTAGTTTAAAATCCTATTTTCTACCTGGTGTGCTAGGCAGGAAGCCTGGATGGGGCCCAATAGCATCTTCACTGCCCGTTCTCACCGTCTAGCGTTAAAATCATGACATTGGAACAGAGGGTTTAAAAAAAAACAAAGAGCAGAGACTGCTTCTGAACATGGAGGTTCTACGTAGCCCTCATGGCAAGTCTCTTTTTAGCAGTTGCTCATTTTGGCATCCTGCAGTCTGCAATTCCTACTACTTTTCCTGTGTTTCAGATACGGTCTTTCCCGGGATAATGTATAGGGATTCCCGCAGTATTTTCCCCCCATGTCCTTCCTCCCATGTTGCATTTCCAGATGGTTTGCGCCTTGGGGCCACGGCCTGTCGTGTCTTATTTTGCTGCGGCACCCGCACGGAGGCCCAGCCTCAGCACCGTCTTCCTTCTAGATCCGGCTGCCGTTTTGCACAGACGTGGAGGGGGCCACCCTGAGCGTTCCAGCGGCAGGGAGCCCCCCCGGGGCCCGGCGGGGGGTCGGCTCTCCCTTGCGAGGCACCCGGTCGCAGAGAGAAGGGCGCTCCCCGAGCCGTGGGCCGCTCAGCTCCCCCAGCGTGATCGTTGTGCCATCTGGCGAAGCTGAAAGTGGAAGCGAGGAAGCAGCGAAGGAGGGTGCCCCCCGAAAGTCGCCCCCTGGGGCTCTGCGCAGCGCGGAGGAGAGAAAGAAGGCGAGGGGCAGAGAGGAGCTGGCCCAAACCCCGGCGGAAGAGAGGGGGAGGCAGGGGGCTTCTGCTCGGATGCCGCAGACCCCCAAGTCCATTCTGCTTACACCGGGGGGCAAGCATGCCAAGGCGAGGAAGAAGGTGCGTGTGGGCGGTTGTCAACGTTTCAGAGATTTCACACGGGTTTTGCGGATTTGAAGGGGTGGGCAGCTGGCGGTCCCCGAGCAAGATAAACTGACCGGCAGAGTCCGTTTTGCAGCCCGATTTGATCTCCGGCACCTGCGAGTCGGGTTGGGAAGAGAGCTGCTTAAACTGGCAGCGTGGATAATAGGACAGGAAGGCTAGCGGTTTGAGCAAGGAGGACTAGAATCTTAGTTTACTTTTAGAAGGTGTGGCTCCGCTGGGTTTAAATGCAGGAGGTCGTGGGCAACGTCGGGCATTTCGGTGGCGTTCGCTGGCCATTTGCACGAACGAGGCGCCGTTTCTCTCTTCCAGAAGGAAGCTGGGCACGTGACGTTTGTCTCCGACGCCGAGGAGCCTTTGATCCCAGCGGACAGCCTGTCCGCGCGCCCCTTCCTGGGCTACGACTGGATCGCAGGTGTGAAGTTGCGGGCTTCTGGCCAAAAGAACCTCTTGGTTCAAATCTCTGGTCCGAACCCATTCCCTTTGAACGCCTTCCTGTCTTGGCCTCGCAAGAAACACAAGGGCGACCTCCGATGCCTGAACGGAGCCTCCATGCTCAGATGCAGTATATCTGAATGCCGGGGCGGAGAGCTTTAGCAAGATGCGTGGATCTCTCTCCTCCTTAGGAGCCACCTCTTCAGTTGGTGCCGCCCTCTTCCGCATTTGCGCTTTTTAAAAATGACAAGCGCTGCCTTTTTATTCTTCGACGTGTTTAAGATAGCCAGGGCTATGTTCAAGAGGAGTTTTACTATGGCTCCCATCGTGCCAGGCCTTTTACCCTCCTAGCCAGGCAGGGCAAACTTTCTAGTCCGATCTGGCAAACGAAGGCTTTCGTTCATATTCGCCAAGAATAGGAGGGGCAGAACCTCCATGTATAGGAATCGTTTACTTGTGAATGCCGGGGGCTAGAAAACGAAATTCTGATCCCGCAGGTTGGCCCTTGCGTTTCCCCTGTCTGGGACTGGACTTTTCCTCCTCCTGCAGGGCTGCTGGAGATGGATACGTCCCTGTCTGAAAAACCCGAGGAATATTTTGCGGAGCTGCAGAATTTCCGGCAGGTGAACAGGGAGGCTTGCATCCGTGACCAGGATTTACAGTACGAGCAGAGACCCGGCGGGGGGATTGGAAAACGGGGTGGACGTTGGCCCTCGCCTGGAGCTCGGCTCAAACCCAGAAGTGCCATGTTCAGAGCACGGGTTCACACAACCCCCTTAATCAGATCGTTGCAACCCGCCGGTTGCGCCTTCGCACAAGAAGCTAAGCTTGGCGAGGGCTAACCTGGGGTGGCTTTTTAAAGCTCTGTATGTTGCGTGATCCCAAAAAGTGAGTCCGTTCTCCAAGTTGCTTGTGGGGCCATCTCAGCCCCCAACTGAAGGGCGGGAAGAGTTTTTAGAGGTCATCCAGTTTAATTCAGGACTTTCCTTCTTTTTCAGGTTGGAAGACGTGAATTCTTCAGCCCTGGATCGGGAGACAGAAACAGATGTGACTTCCCATCAATGTATGCTCAGATGCCAGGCTGTTTTCTGTAGCCAGCTCATTTCTGGAGGGTGGTAGAAACTCCAGAGATTCAGCAGGAGTTTTGTGCATGGGAAGGACAGCTGGAAGCGTGACGGAGAACCCCAGGTCCTACTAAGCAGGGAGGGTTTCAAGCCACGCATTCCCCAGCTTCACTTTGCAGTCATGAGGGCTAGAAGCTTGGCACCCGTTCAAACCTACAGCTGCATAAAGGGCCCTGTCCTAATTTTCCTGGTATACCTACAGGTGTCTTCTGCTATCGGTTGAATAAACGACTTTTTACGGTGCCGATGGATCCAGAATCGGCCTGCCCCGTTTGCAAAACCCCACGGGCTGAAAAGCCCCCCGAAACGCTGGTGGAACCAGCTTTTATTAGGTGAGTCTTTACACTGTGTCATCACTTAGTGGCAAATGGGGAGCCTAACCAGGAACTGTTTGGGGGCAGGTCAGTTTCCCTCTGACTTCAGGGCGTTGCCGGAGTCTCTGCACTTCTGTTTATGGCTTCTTATGGTGGCATATTATTGCTCAGCTTCGTTTTAGCAACGGATGGTTTTACCCAGTTTCTTTATAAACGCTGTTCTTGATACCTAACCTGCTCCCTTCAGATGTTCTGATGTTGCAGGGTGTATTTTGCAGAATTAGCATCCCGAGAGCTACCTTTCTCCCCGCATACAAGCACAAAATCCATCGGCGGAAAAGTTACGAGATGGAAGACAATTTGGCCCTGCCCTCGGTGAGCTTCTGGGTTTCGAGGGAGAAGGATGTGAAGGGACAGAAAGAGAAACACGAAATCACGTAGGGAGAAAACTGAAACGAATTCTAGCGTCTCTCATAATGCTAGAATCCAGGGATGGCCTTGAATGGAGCAAAATAAACGGGAATAAAAACGGTGTTTACCTGGAAGGGAGATTGGCCCTGCATTTCCAGGAAGAAGATGAGACAGAAAAAAATAGTATCTGAGTTCTCAGAGCCTGTAAGATGATGCTTCTGTTTTAAAAGTAAATTATTTGGGAAAGGGGGAAAAAAAACCCTAATCTTTGATTTAAGTAAATACGTGCCGTACTTTGGATTCGGTTGTAAAAGCTGAGGACAGTCGTGCAATCCAGGGAAAGGACATAGGCAATTTTGAAAGTCTCAGGCGCTATTTTTTCCCTCCAGTGGAATCTTGTAAATTTACAGTGCTTGTAAATACAGCGTGCCTGGGGCGTGGGTTAAACCACGGAAGTCCCTGCCACAAGATCGTAGCGATGGACATCAGCTTGGGTGGCTTTTAAAAATGGGGATGAAGTTATAGAAAACTGCCAATGGCTACTGGGGTCTATAGGAAGAGGAGCTACGAAACTCAGGAGTCTCTGTGCTGAGCATCAGCCAGCCAAACCGCTGAGGCTCCATTCTCTCTTTTGCCCCCATAGCACTGCCTTGCTGGTTGGGAAAACCCCATGGGCGTTTCCACCCCCGCCCTCAGCAGCCTGGATCTTCATTCATCCCTGGATTCTCAGGGTCCACATCAGGTAAGCAGGCAGAACCGGCCGTCGGGAACATTCACGCTTCAGTTTCCAAACACCTTTAGCCAAACTTCAGGTGCTGTGGCCTTGGTGTGATGTGCAAAACACAGCCACTGTGCCTTGTAAAGCAGAATGATGGCATTAAAACAAGTCTAGTCAAGGCTTCCAGTGCTGTTTAAATTCGGGCCTGTTTTGTAGTCTGCTAAGCGTTCACTTGGGAACTGAATTTTTTTTTTAAAGGCGTTTCACAACTAGATAAAACTACATCTGGGTGGAAGGGTATTTTCAAAGCCAGCTATGATAATGCCTTTTTAACTGGGTCTCTAAATGTGCTTTTCAGAATTCTGGCTCTAGGGTGTCAGGTGGAACCAGGACAGACGAACTGCTTGACCTCTCTCGAGTGGTGGAATTTGAACTCAGCAGCGTCCCTTGGAAGCAGACTCACCTAAAGCCGCCACGCTGCAAAGCAACTTTCCATTAAAACCACATCCAGTTTGTATCGATTGTGCCGTCTCTTTTTGCTTGGAACAGGGAACCACAGAGCAATAGGACATTTCGTGTGAACGCCCACGGTCCCTGAACTGGTAGGCTTTGTAAATTGTTTAGTTCAAGAATGGCAGGGTGAGTCATTTTGTTTTTTAAAAATCCGCATTTTAATTTTTTTAAAGGAACTTTGCCTTTTGGTCCACGTGGCGTACGAAAAGACACCCACACCCACCAACACCTTTTGGGGGAAAGACAATAACAGTTAAAAATCATACACCTTTTGGACGGGAGGGGAGAGTTGACCTGTGCTGTGTGCATTTTTAAAGTACCTCTTTTAAAAAAGAATCAATAAATATTCCTTTGAAGGCTGCGTCTTGAGAAGCGGCAAGCATCTTTCAGGAACACGGAATGAAGAGTAATGCAGAGAAGCGGGTCATAAAGCGTGAAAAATAAATAAAACAATAAAAAACAGGGCACGGGGAAAAAACTAGCACGGATATTTGACACGTTGGAGGGGAGGTGAAACCTCCTTTGGACCCAGGGGGAGACCGATCTCTGGAGGGGGCACTCACTTCTGAAATCACGGAGACCCAAATGCAGATAAACAGGTTTGGAAAGCCGGCCAACCTGGGCCAGGAGCGTTCCAAAGATGCTGTGGCTGTTGGCAGCCGCTGATTGGCTCCTTCCCCGTTGCCACGGTGACGGGTACGTAACCTCCTTTGCTCTGTGGTCCAGAATTGGAGCCCCTTTGGATGAGACAAAGCGGACGATGCTGATTTGGTTCAGTTCGGAGTTATGGCTTCTCAGATACGTCGGCGGCGCTAGCCTCCCACCGGCTCTCGGTAAAGGATCGCGGCGTTTTAGAATAAATTCTAATAGTTATTTCCACCTTTGCAAGTCCGGGGGTGCCCGCAATGCTTTGCAACTCATTTTCCAGAAGAGAGAAGGGGGTGGTGCCGTTGGGCATCCGTGGCCCGTTGGCAGGCGAGCTTTTCTTTTGGTGGGTTCCCAGCGGCTGCCAGAACGTGCTGAAACGCCGATTTCCCATATGACGAAAGGGGGAAAAATGCATGTTTATTCATGTCATCTTTTAGCACACACCTGTACGGGCTGCAAGCAGACCGCCCCAAAGATGGAGGGAACCGCAGGCCTTCCCGCCTGCCGTCGATCTCAGCATCAAAGCGACATTTAGTGGAACCAGCAGGGCTTCTCCCTTATTTCCTTGAC